AAAATGCTCTATCTCTAGATACATAATTAAAAAATTAGCTTGTATCTCATGAATTGTTGACATTTTTTAAGATATAAGTTCATCCCGATGTTATCCTCATCGAAACCTTTCATTTGAATACCCACATGGCATTTTTCATATATATATATTATATATATGGTATTTGTGAAATATATAAATATATAAAATATATGAAAAATTGATGTGGGTACTCAAATGAAAGGTCTTGATGAGTGTAACATCGGGATGAGCTTATATCTTTAAAAATGTCAATAGTTCACAAAATACAAGGTCATTTCTTAATTATGTATCTAAAGATAGAGTATTTTCGAATGCAGAGCCTAAATATTTATCATAAATTGACTATCGGTGAGAATGATATGAAACCTTGAAAAGGCACAAATTTAAGTCAAGACCTTTGCAATGACATTAAATTTCACTAAAAAAAAAACCAATTTTATCATATACCTACCCTGGACAAAAAATTTTTCTTATTCTCTTAATAATATAAATAATAATCGACTCTTATAACAAAGACTTAACGTTAATACTAAAAAAAAAAAAACTGAAAATCGTAGGACACACGCTCAACATCGAGCCACTCAGATCATCAGTCACAGCATCGTCAGGCCCAATCAACTGGCAACGAGTCAAACCACCTATCACTTCCGCCAGCTCCATTAATACCTTTAATGCCTCTAAAATATCCATTAGCAAACCGGTATCCTTACCACCCTCACTCCCAACACTCTTTAGCTCTCCAACCCCAATCATCAACTCAGTCTCTGTGTCCTGAATCAACAGAGGATCCAATGCAATGTCGCATCCTTTACCACCCAGTTTACATTCCAAACCCCTACAACCCTACTTCTTTACTACCCACTCCCATGATACAAAACACGTCATACGATTCATCAAAGCGTGACGGTCATCTAAGCAAATCTCTTTCCTTCAATCGTCCATTACATCAAAATTTACATATTTTTCCTTCAATGCAGCACCAAAATTACACCAACAAATTCAATAAATTTCCTCCCTTGAATCGGGTGAATTCGCACAAAAGAAATTACAATTCTTATTCCCGCACGACTAACCGGTCCTTTAGTGGTACTTCACCAGCATCTTCTGGTGGAGCTAACGCGGGTACTACAGCAGTTGCGACGACAACCGCAGCTTCAACGACAACGACGACTGCTAAAAGTCATATCGATTCTCGTAAAAAAATAAATAATTCGTATGTTTATAAATCAAATGACAGTGATTCGAATGCTGTTGAATCTAATGACGTTAAAATGACAACAACAACAACAACAACAACAACTACTACTACTACTACTACAACTGTGACTACATCAACAGCAACTTCATTATCATCTTCATCATCATTAACTCCACCTCCAGCACCATACTCACCAATGACACATCCAATTCCAAATTATTCCCATCAAAATCTCCAGGTGTTCTACAGTCAGAGCCGTTATTCATCAAATCAATTGCAGTCACAGCCTCAGCATCACTATCATCACCACCATCATCATCAACAGCAGCAGCAGCAGCAACAAAATCAGCAGAATCAGCAAAGAAGGTATGGAAATACACAAAACTCAAGTGGATCAGTACGTAATAAATCTGATAAATACAACAATTCAACTCAGTCAAGTGCTCAAAGTGTTATTTTGCGTAATAATAAATATAAAATGAATGGTATTATGCAAAATAATAATAGTTGTAGTGCTGGTGGTAAATCATCATCTAATAATGCTGGTGAAGATAATTTAGGCGGAGCTGGTGATGCACAACAGACAGTTAATCGTAATAATTTGCCATTAACACCACCAGGTACTCCTAGAAATTTACAAGACTCAAGTCAAATTAGTGATACGTGCCATCAAATACAAGCACTTACACTTTAAAACCTCTGATAATGTTTAAAATAATTTATTGATAAATAATTATTAATTATTAATATTTATATTTATTAATAATACATAAAAAAAACAAAAAAAAAAAAAAAAAACATAACATATTAATGATAATTCGGAAGAAAAAAAAAAACATTTTTTTAAATTGATAAATCTTTATTATTGGTGCGTCATACGTTGTTGTTTCTTGTTGTACATTTTTTTAAGATGAGGGTATTAATTAATTATTAATTTAGGTTATTGTTTTTGTTATTTAAATTTAATGTTTATTTATGTCGTAATAATATTTGACTAATATTATTTAATTTGTTAAGTTATCTTATGATATAAGTATTTATTTAGTTGTTTATAGTTCGAAATATTAATAACGTATATTGACGAAAATAATACCCTCAGCTTAGAAAATAATGAATCTTTAAATCTTAAATGAATCGTTATATATAAATATACACATAGTAATTAAAAAAAGACGTGTATCGGCATGTTAAAGATGATTATTAGTTAATATTAATGATTTAATATAAATAACAATAATTATTATAATATTAATAATAATGATAAATATAATAATAATAATAATAATAATAATATAGCTCTGAATATAAAAAAAAATGCTATAATGAATGAAAACAGTATAAAAGGCACGCTTTATCAATGATTAATTAATAAATAATTAAAAATTAATAAGTATTAATAATATTTGGAGGAAAATTGTTTGCGGAATTATAATAATATGACGACTAATTTATAAATAAATAATTCCATTATTTATTAATTAAGCGATTATTGTAGGCTCGGCGACAAACGTTAAAAAAAAATGTTTACTAATAGTAGTAAAAATAAAAAATAAAAATACAAAGAAATATCCAATCTCGCGAGCAAGGCTAGATTAGTTTAGAGATACAAAAAAAAATAATTTAATTGCTGAGTTAGTGATGGAAAATAAATAATATAATAATTATAATAAAAGATATGGAATGGAATATATTAAATGGAATAATTTAATGAATATTAAATATTAAAAAAAAAAAACGTTGTTAATTCGTACAAAATACGAGCGATCTGTTATGTGTTCAAAGACAAAAACAAACGTTTATAAATAAAAACGCATTAAAAATAAATAATTTGAAAAATTGGAGTTAGTAATTACTAGCTTTGAAAAATATAAAAAATTATTTAACAATGTTATTGTTGGATTGAGATAATTATCCGTTTATTTATTTTGTTATGATATACAATTTAAATTAATGTAGTATAATAATTTATATTACTCGGTGATTCAATTTATTTTAATTACAATATGTAATTAAAAATTAAAATTAAAATATTTCGTCAAAGATGGCTCTTTATTTTTGTTTGTTTAAAAATTAAAAATTTGTATTAAATTTATGAATAATTTTTTGAATGTAATTATTAATATTTATTGTAGAAAATAAATATTAATAATTTGTATAAGTTGTATTTAACAATTGTAAAATTATAATTATAAAATACGTTTACTTCATTGGTTGTTTGAAAAAATCACTAGAGTTGGTAAATTATTATATTAAATTAAAGTATATAAAAAAATTAAATGGTTGCTCAAAGCACTGCCATGTCGATTAATTTTCTTTATTTATGACACTGTTAATGAGTAATTATTTGTACAACAAATGCAAAAGAAAAGACAACAACGTACTTAAAAATTGTAACTTGTAATGAATTTTGTTTATTTATTAATCATTTAATTTTAAGTTTGTTTATTTTTATGATTTAACTTATAATATAATTCTTTGTGTCATTAATTTAATTATTATTTAGAGCAACTGAGATGATTATAATTATTAAAGAGTAATAAGATTAGAGATTGGATAAATGATAATTATCTCATTGTTGAGTAGATAGAAAGACGATAATTAAAAAGATATTAATAAATAATTAAAATAAAACGTGTCGGCTGTGAGCTTCCAAGCAAATAACAATAATTAAATTATTATTAACATTATTGAACGTGGAAAAGAAAAATTAAAGGTAAATAATAAAAGAAAATAGAGCGAAAGAGAGAAAGAGAGAGAGAGAGAGTTTGATGATTATCCGCAACACGTTATATATTTAAGATAATTAAATATAATAAATTGTTATTTAAAAATAATGAAAAAAAAAAAAAATATAAAACCATAATATAATATCTAATAATTATTAATATTAATATAATAAAATATTTTTGTTTAATTTTTTTTTCTTTATTTATTTCCTGCGTTTTATTTAATTATAATTATTATTTATGAAAAAATAAAAATTTAAAAGGCCTAGAATAAAAATTTTTTCTTTTTTTTATAATTATAAATTTTTACTATATACAATAGAGTGCCTTCTATTTGTTTATTATTTATTTTTATTATCTATTAAAATTATATTTATTTAAAATTTTTAACACAATAAATATTTCAGCAATATTAAAAACTAAAATATCAATAAAATATAAAATTTATGTAATTTAAAAATTTTAATAATAAAGTTTGAAGAAAAAAAAAAGTTCAATTGATAAAAAATTGTAATTTATTTTTTGTTATACACGCACAAGTTTTATAAAATTAAAAAAATTAAAATTGTTTAAAAAATTCGAATTGTTGATAATTTAATTTTTTATGAAATTTTTCGAGTTTTTAAATAAATTATCATTGAACTTTTTTTTTTTTCTCAAGAAGAAATTGTAATTAAAATGTTGATTTGCCAAGTTAAATAATTGTTGAAGATTATGAAAAATAATAAAAAAGAAGAAAAAAAAAAAACTAGATTAATAAAAATAAACAAACGTGGATATGTCAGATTGGCTGTGACTACTGCGTGGAAGTTTGAAAAATGTTGTTATTTAATTATTAATTAATCATTATTAATGTTGTATTATTAAATAAATTAAATCAAATATATAAAAATAATAATTAATATCTAATGAATAATACATTTAACTAATGGTTAATATATTAATAATAATAATTGGGAGTAATAATACCAATCAATTTAATACATGATTAATGATCCTTCATTAGTATTAATTATACATTTTTTCCGATCAATTTAATATGTAATAATAAAACGAACTAGCGGTAATATTTAAAAAATATAATGAAGGTGAATTAATAATCATGGTCCTACAAAAATAAAATATTTAAAAAATAAATAGTATATATTAATAAATAAATAAAAAATCCACTATTAATTTAATTAAAAACGTATAATATATGAAAATAGTTATTAAAAAATATTTAGAAGTCGCTAGTTATTAAAATATCGTAGAACAACAATGAAAAGACGATAGATATTAGACTTATCAATAAATAATTAATTATATTAATAATAATAATAATAATAATAAATAAAAAAATTAATGTTACTTTATTTCTTCAATTGTTAAATAAAATTACGGGTTAAAAATAATAAAAAAAAATTTGCCACAAATATTTTTATTTATTGATAAATTATTTGAAGATTTGAAATTCAAAATTATATTTATTATTATTAATATAAATCGAAGAAAATAAATCTGAATAATAATGAAGATCATTATTAAAATAATAATTAATTTTAAGTAAAAAGAAAAAGTGATGATATTATATTTAGACTGTACTTATACATAAATATATAATTATTATTATTATACACATGATTATTATTATATAATATGAAATAAAAAATAATGCGAATATATGTATACAAAAATATATATATGATATATATTCAAGAATATTTATTAATTATTTAAAAAAAAACTATAACAATATACGAAACAGTAAATAAATAAAACAATGATCTATGATAATAATTATAATGAAGAAATATACTAAATAATTTAAGTAAAAAAAAATAATAATAATAATAATGCATTAAAAAAACATCTATTAATAAATGCAATACACCTTACGATAATTTAGGTATTAATTAATAATAATTATAACAATAATAGCATAATAAAATACATCAAGAAAACAACGTACTAATAAATATATGTATGATATATATATATATATGATGGAAATAAAAAATATTATAGAAATATATTTAAATCTTCAGGCAATTGGCGACTCGAATAATAATAAATGAGAATATTGGTGATTATGTGGAGAAAAAAATTGAAAAAAATGTAAATCTGAAAAAAATTTAATGAAAAAAATAAAATAAATACATAACTCTACATCAATGTAATTCTTTCATTTATTTATTCAATTGTTTAAATTGTAATTTATGGAATGAAAAAATATTATTCAATTTGGTAAGTGAAATTTTAAAAGAAATAAATTTTAAGTTTTATTTATTTATTTATTGCAGAATCGTTTATTTGAGAAACCTCATAAGTTAAAAAACTAAATTTTTCATGACACTGAAGTTAGCAGACGTCAAAAAATTTTTGATTTTTTTTATTTATTAAATTACAACTGAAAAGATATTTTTAAAAAATTGCACTTATAGTTTTTTAAGTTTTTAACATGTAAAATTTTTTTTTTAATTGTTTAATTGAAAATTTTTTCAATAATAAATTTTTAAATGTCGGCTAGCTTTATTTTCATAATTTTTCAGGGGAACCAAAAAACATTTTTCTAAGTTAAGTTTGTATTAACATCAGGAACCAATGATGAATAATAATAATGTTAGCATCCCTAAATAATATTCGAGCATGAAAAAAATAAATTGTTAATTACTACTATAAATAATAATGATTTAAAGTAGTGCTGTACAATTGGCAATGGCAGCAATTATTCGGACGTGTCTCGGAAAAAAAAAGTACAATTGCGGTGCCCCTCATAACTTGGTGCTGGATCATCTGAAATCAAAAAATGATAGTTCATTCGTTAGATAATAGTGTTTCTCCGGTAACGCTGTCGAGTTTTTTTCGAAATTTCAATTTTTCACTTTTTTGGAACACTTTGAAGGGAAAAACGTCATTTTTACGAAAAGAAATCGGCTAATTTGAGACTACACAATCGTGTCTCTGCGCATACCGTTTACTATGGGAACTTGTAAATTTTGTACCAGTTTTCCTATAGTTCAGTGTTATTATGTGCCCATAGTAAAATTCATTGGAAATTTCTCACCGTGTAAAAAAAAAAAAACGTAGAATTTTTGTACTCTAACACAGAGTGTATCTGTTTTTGAATAAAATTGTACAAACTACTAAAATCAGTGTTGCATCAAAAGGTAGTACCTCCGCGACAATCCAGATAAAAAATTTTGACTCGCTATCCATGTTATACGTATCGACAGAGCTAAGGTTGTAGGTTAAGATTTTTTAACGTTACTGTACTCGTCGCTACTATATTCTCTATACATATACACATACACTACGGTTCAGTGACTAGCGGCTGTTTTTCGTACCCCCTCTCCTAAAAATAATCCTCTAAAAGTGAAATTCATTTTAATTAATCTCGAAAATTACATGGTAAATAATTTTCATTTTTTTTTTTTTAATTATTGTTCGAAATATCATATTCTTCAATCTACTAGTTTTTTTATTAAGTCTTGAAATTCCTTCGATGGAAAAAATTAAAAATACTGTCATTTTCCCACGCTTCTCCTATGTTACATGTACAAAAATGTCATTTTCAATTGCAATTATCCCAAGTTTGGTATGGTAAATCGTCTTCAAATTTTAACAGCATATGTATTATGTATTTAATGACTTATATTCAAAGTTTCGAGGATTTCTTAAAATATTGCTTTCATAATCGTACTACCTTCTTCAGGTTTGTCTACATCTTGATATGGCCATATCAACCCTGATCAAGTCTGATATTGCCAATTTTTATATTAGATCTGATCAGAATATTTTTTCACGGGATATAATTAGATATGGCCATTTTTTGGATCTGATCATATATAAACATGTCTGGTCATATATAATCAGATCAAGTTATGTATGATTAGACCTGGCCAATTTTTGGATTTGATCATATATAGACGATTATGCATGATTAGACAAAATCTTTTTTCATCGGGTGTTTATCTTTAAAATCATGAAATGGTTAGAAATATATTATTTAGGCTTTCGTGAGTATGAGAAATATAATGTAATTGAACTAGATAATATTTTACGTATTGAAGAATTTGGTGGCCCTGAAAAGGGCCGTTTGGTTTGGTTTTAGTCAGAGAGAGGAAATTTACTTAGAGCTGGTGTACTTAGTGACGGCTTTGGTTCCTTCACTGACGGCGTGTTTGGCCAATTCACCGGGTAACAGAAGACGGACAGCTGTTTGAATTTCCCGTGAAGTGATGGTGGAACGCTTGTTGTAGTGAGCGAGTCTGGAAGCTTCAGCAGCAATACGTTCGAAGATATCGTTGACGAAGCTGTTCATGATGCTCATGGCCTTGGAGGAAACACCGGTGTCAGGGTGGACCTGTTTCAGTACCTTGTAAATGTAGATAGCGTAACTTTCCTTCCTCTTCTTCTTGCGACCCTTCTTGTCAGACTTCGTGATATTCTTTTGGGCTTTGCCAGATTTTTTGACGGCTTTTCCACTGGTCTTGGGCGGCATGATGGCTACTACTGAGTTGAGTATGTAAGTACGTACAAGAAGCACAGTAGACGAATGATAGTGAGCCCAACTTTGCTTTCGCTTTTAAAAGAGAAAAATAGGAAGTTGAGCATCGGGGAAGGATAGTCACAAAGAGTGGGGATGAATACCAAGTAAACCGGCTTGTCAATGGAACATAATTACAATAGTAACCCTCTTCAACACTAACTGACTAACCCAAGGTATGCTCGACCCCCTCCAACGTTCAGCTGCCAGAACATTTGCCGCATGCTCCTTACACAAGTCTTATAAAAGTCAAGGTTTGGAGTGCCAACCGCATAGTCAGGACTTATCCGTTCAAGTAAATAGTTCAGTTTATAATTCTCTAATCTTTTCATCATGTCTGGTCGTGGTAAAGGAGGTAAAGTAAAGGGAAAGTCAAAGACCCGCTCAAGCCGTGCTGGTCTCCAATTTCCAGTGGGTCGTATTCATCGTATGTTGCGTAAAGGAAATTACGCTGAACGTGTTGGTGCTGGTGCTCCAGTTTACCTTGCTGCCGTCATGGAATACTTGGCGGCTGAAGTTTTGGAGTTAGCTGGAAACGCTGCTCGTGACAACAAGAAGACCAGAATTATTCCCCGTCATCTTCAGTTGGCCATCCGTAACGACGAAGAGTTAAACAAACTTCTCTCTGGAGTCACCATCGCTCAAGGAGGTGTCTTGCCTAACATCCAGGCTGTTCTTTTACCCAAAAAGACCGAGAAAAGCAGCTCTTAAATTATATCTTCTTTCCCATTTAAAACAAAACGGCCCTTTTCAGGGCCACCAAATTTTTCAATACGTGAAGAGTTTTCTAGTTTAATTAAATTCTTTTTATTCAGCCTAATTATTTGCTTAATCAAATTATCGTCATCTATCTTGAAAATTGATTAATATAGTTACCAGCACTATTTCATTTTTATTGAGCGAGTATAATATCATTAATTTACAACAAATAATTATGATCTTTGGTATTTGCTAAAATTTCATTGAGGTCGTGGACTATGGTATCTTTATCTTAGGCTTCTCACCATTTTCCATTTTAAAGTATAGCAAGGGAACGTCTAGTGTCATACATTCCTTAGCTATGATAAACGGATTTTGATCGAGATATAACACAGTCAAAGAGAGAGATTGATTTTACTATAAATTTATATCTTGAAGGTTAGTTAATGATAATGTTGGAATTATGAAACTCTCAAATAGTTTTATATGAAAACAATATATTTATTCTCGTCATTGAAAAAATTTCTTTTTAATGTATTATAGTAATGACAAACTCATTGTATTCTAAAACATCTGCATATTCCTTCTGAAAATTCATGTCATGTTATTTTGTTCGTTTATCAGAAATAATCTTTAGTTCAAACAATTAAAATATCATTATAACAATAAACTTTATAATTATTCATGGTGAAGAATAATTTACGAGATACTAAGGTATCTTTAACTAATGAAATAATATTAGTCATGCTATAATGGGATATCGATATTCTATTTTCTTATTTTTCATTGATCTTAGATTTTCTAGGTAATTAAACAATTATCAACATGGACAACTAGTAAAATTGAATTATTTTCTCAGTATGAAAAATTTGGTGGCCCTGAAAAGGGCCGTTTTTTTAGATGTTGGATTAAAAATGATCACCTAGGCACGTTCTCCTCGGATACGACGAGCCAACTGGATGTCTTTGGGCATGATGGTGACACGCTTGGCGTGAATGGCACAGAGATTGGTGTCTTCAAAAAGACCGACGAGGTAGGCCTCGCTGGCTTCCTGAAGGGCCATCACAGCGGAGCTCTGGAATCGCAGATCAGTTTTGAAGTCCTGGGCAATTTCACGAACAAGACGTTGGAAGGGCAATTTACGGATCAACAACTCCGTACTCTTCTGGTAACGACGGATCTCACGAAGAGCAACAGTTCCTGGACGGTAACGGTGAGGCTTTTTGACACCTCCAGTAGCTGGTGCACTCTTACGAGCAGCCTTGGTGGCAAGTTGCTTACGTGGAGCTTTACCTCCAGTAGACTTACGAGCGGTTTGCTTAGTTCGGGCCATGACGACTTAGTGACAGTAATCTGACTTTAACGATCTAAAGTTAGACTGAAAATATGATGTTCGCTCGAAGAGCTCGCCTTTTTGTTAACTTGGGCCAGGTGTTCCAGGTGTTTTTTTTTCGGTAGGGGGAAAAAGTTTCTGGATTGTGCTGATTGGCTGCACTCGAATTCGATGGTGGGGGAAATGTTGGAGATGTCCTTAAAAGAGCCTTGACTTACTGTTTTTCGAATATACCAAGTTTACTTCTTGAGTTAATCAGAAGCTTAATTCAACTTATATCAACATGACTGGTCGTGGTAAGGGAGGTAAAGGATTGGGGAAAGGAGGAGCCAAGCGTCATCGTAAAGTTCTTCGTGATAACATCCAAGGTATCACTAAGCCAGCTATTCGTCGTCTGGCCCGTCGTGGTGGAGTCAAGCGTATCTCTGGATTGATTTACGAAGAGACCCGTGGTGTGCTCAAGGTTTTTCTTGAGAACGTCATCCGTGACGCCGTCACCTACACCGAGCACGCTAAACGTAAGACTGTCACAGCCATGGATGTAGTCTACGCATTGAAACGTCAAGGCCGTACTCTCTACGGTTTCGGAGGTTAAATATCCCACTCTACCATCAAATTTATAACAAAACGGCCCTTATCAGGGCCACCAAATTTTTCATACTAAGAAAATCATTTAAGTTTCAATTTGCGCTTACGACAAATCAACTGTACGACCTCATTTGTAATGATTCGAAAAGACAAATCTCAATTGGACATTATCTGAAAAGCATATGGACTTTTTGCAGAAATTTATGAGTTTAAAATTTAATATTGCTAACGTTAATACAGCCAAGTCGAAATTCAAGTTCCGATTTAATCGTAAAAGTATGCAAATCCTTTGTATTAATAAAATATTTTAAGCATTAGTAAAAAAAATAAACTTGATTAAAAAAAAATTTGTTAAATCGAGAATACAATTTTTAAAAGTTAGATCATTTCAAAATTAAATAAAAAATTTTTATGTAAAATTAACTTTCATGTAAAAATTGAATGAATTAATCTTAATATAGCCATATATTATTCGGTTAAAGCCTCCAGCATGTCCAGAGTCATGCAATTTGATATAAGCAATTGCATGTTGCTGTAATATAACCGATTCCATAAGCTTACCTTCGGTGAGAATAGTAGATGCATTTTCATTAGTCAAGCTTTTTATCAAAATATATTCACACGTTGTTTTCAATTTATTAATTTGATACATATGCGCAAAGTTGCATAATTTTAGAGCGAGTTCAGCGTCTGTTTCAGCTTTGTCCATTTTCCCCTTGTAGACAAACAGAAGTAGTTCTTTTATTACATCAGTGTCAGTAGTATCCGAAAATGTAATACTATTTTCTTTGGACTCTTTCATATCAGTAGTTAACATTGTGTGGAATACGTGACTTAGGGCTGAAATTAAAATTTTATGAGCTGGAAATTCGTCGTCTCTAATTTTAATCACCATGTCACTAAATTCTTTATTGTCGTATAAACGTTTCATATGAGTGCACACATTTGAATAATACAAATCATCAACGAATCCGTTCCAAATTATTGTACAGGTTATTGGCACTGTATATTCGTGACCATTTTTCAGGATACAAGTATTTGGATGATCTTGATTTTTTTATCGCATACATCATAAATAGAAACACCATGTAAGTTATCAAAATATACTATGTCTTTCCAATCAACTACGCAACCAGTTGAACATAATTCGCCGTAGCATATTTTCATTATTGAAACAGCTTTTCTAATGTCGTTCTTTATTACTCTTACTTTCATCACAGACTTTTCATTTATATACTCGCGGAAACGGAAAATTTAACAGTCGGAATTTTGGGTGATTCAAATTCAGGTGAATTCATCCACTCTCCCGTAGATGCGATTTTTGTAAAAGTATGATCGAATTTAAATAATACATTCTTTCCGTCTTTATTTTCCGCACTCATCTTAAACTAAAAATAAATTGTCAAATTATAATTAATTATTTTTACTTAAATAGAAAAATGTAGCTTTTCCAAATAAAACCGGAAAAAAATGTTTAACTTACCGGTGGTGTTACTGTACAGAAAAATCACTCAATTTATTTTACACAAAATACTATAATTTTAATAACTCTCTAAGCCAACTTTTCACAGTTCTTCTACGCAGTTTACTTTGATACTGACGCGAGAACGAATGTTTTCGAAACGAAAAGGGAACCTCAACGACGTTCCTAGACAAAGAAAAATATACCAATAGGTTTTGGCTATTGGTTTCTTTCTCACGCACTAGTGCCTGCCTAGTTACTAACTTTAAAAATTTTTTATAAAAAAATCAACATCGCTCGTTTATGTTATTTTTGATGAAAAATGGTTGTTATAACCTCTTCAATTAATGATTCTTAGTTTTTTAAAACAATCCTAAGAAAAGTACGATTGATATTTAATAAAACGTTCGCTTGAACGTCGGTCAGTTCAATCCGCTGTCTTTGAACTTGTCAATTAAATAGATTTCATGTTAATAATACGTCTCTGCTAGAACTGTTCGGCTACATTTTTTTGAGTGATAGTGGCCATTAATTTTAATTCATGACCATGTAAGTGCTCAGTTTTATCAAAATAAATATTTTTGTAATTTTTCTTCAAATCTGAAAATCATTTTAGAGAAATAATTTAGTTTATACAATTGCTTCATAAATGATATTATTAAACTTGAAGATAACTCTTTGGATACTGCAAACTGTATAGTGTCGACTTTGTTTTACTACTGCTATTGGCATTTGCAAATTTAACTTGATTCCAAGGTGGCGGAGCGTATTGTGTGTAAGGATTCCGAGTGTAGACCATGGTTGAATCTTTTTTTTCATCATAACACACATGGTATGATACCTATATATCGAGTCTTCCAAGGAAACTAAGAACCAGAAGCGATTCTATCATGCTCTCTTCCAGAAATGTCGAGAATGAACATTGGTGACTTCATAAGTTCCATCAGGTTGTTGAGCCCATGAACCCAAAGATGAGTAATACCAGTTTCTGCCTAGATTCAAATCTGAGAATGTACGTAGCATATCTGGAAAGATATTCTTCGATTGGCTTTCATCTCTTATCATCATTTATAACAATCAGCGGACTTCCATTAACTAAGTCAAAAGATATTATCAGTGGGTTAGAATTATTTGAAAAACCTCTATCAATCAATTCCATCTGCAAAAAAAAAAAAGTGTGTGTGTGTGTACTTATGTACACGCGTTAGAAGTTATACTTCTTTGGTGTAACAAGATAAAAATCTTTTTAAAAATTTTATCTTTCTAAAAATTTATTTTAAATTGTTTTTTTTTTAATTATTTCTCGCTGTGATTGATTTGATTATTTGATTAAGTTTATTAGTGTGTTCCAAATATTTATTAAAATTTATTTTGATACTATCGTCATGTTGTACTGTGTATGGGACAATCTTAATTAAAATTAAAAATTTTAATTAAGATTACTTTAAGAAAGAAACATTTAATTAAATTTAATATTTATAATAATTTAATTTTTTCAGAATTAAATATTATTATTATTTGTATCTATTATTAATTTATTAATTTAATTATAAACTTATCAGACATTAAATAAGAATGTGAAAATTTATTTTAGTTTATAATGTACATAAATAATATATACCGTCAACTAACCCCAAATTCTATAAACGTATTCAAAGGAATATGTAAAAACTATTATAATATATTATAATGTTTTTTGAGAAAATATATATTTATGTATATTTTTATATACTAGAAATTTGAATAGCGCGCTACGCGCGCGCCTTAATCTTAACCAATAAGGGTTCAGGGTCCATGTTTTCGATACTAAGCTAACTTCATTCTACCATCAATTTTAGTATATAGAATTTTATTCGGACTGATACAAAACACGTGTGGTAGGTTCAGAAACACTTAAATAAATAAATATTGTGAATACAGTTGTCAGTTCTCACGCAAACATACGTAGATGTCCTTTTTACTTTGTTGGTACCTTTTTTAGAAAAACTAAAATGTTGACTTATAGCTAACTTCATCATGTCGGTTTTTCGTGACGGTGTGCGCGCGCATCGTAAAAATTTACCCTCATCATTTTTGCCTAACGCGCCAAAAGAAGTATAACTTCAAAAAAATAATTTCAAAAACAATTAACAACTGTTTAAATTTAAAAAAAATTTCCAAGCAACATTTCCAAAACAACGTATAGTTATAAAACTAACAAAAAAAAAATGATTGTCTTATCTAAGATTATCTTAGACAAGCATGAGATCAATGATTCGGCTAGTGACTTAATACGGAGACATTTTACAAGAGATGCTTTTGTACAATACACGAAAATTATAAACGGCAAGTTAAATGGTAACTATTGGTCATGTAAAACGTGTAACAATGATTTAGATGAAGATGACAGTATCGAGTGCAATGCTTGTTTGTATTGGATTCACTGGAAATGTGTAAACATTACCAAAGATCCAGGAACTGAGTGGTTTTTGGATTTATTTTGAATTTTAATTATCTATATTATTTAATGTTTAATAATCTGTATTGCATTAAATTTTTGATAAAATATAATCAAAAAAATTTTTAAAATATGTAAGTCACTTCTACTGATCAATATATCATTTTTCAAAGTCAAGTTTATTCTCGAAAGATGAAAAAGAATTAATTCAATTTAAATAAATAAATTTACACGAATTTCAGACTTGCCGCTGTCAAAGTTAGAGAGATGTTTTATTTTTACAGATGGCGAGGATGTACTTTTAAGCGGCTTTTCATAGCTTCAACGCAGCCAATCCAATTTCTACTTTCTGCCATGATAATAATAATCATAATAATAAATATCTAATTGTAAACGAATGTATATGTAATTCTGTGATCTGAAATCAACTATTAGTTTGTAATACAGATTGTAAATCTGTATTATTTTAAATAATTTATTATATATATATATATATATATATATATATATATATATATATATA